GTCAGTGAAGTGTTTGAGCCAGTCACAGGACAGAGCCGGGTGCCAGGTAGACCAGAAAGCCACTTGCATAAGAGCGACCGGAGGAGAGGGGGCGTTCAGGTTTGTCTGCAGCTGAGGCCATAGCAGCTCAATGCAAAAAGCATGGGCTTAAACAGCACTCATTAGTAGATTAAGATGTTTGCTTCATAAATGAATGCATACATTCATGTGGAACTAGTCACTGCTTTCACGATTATCGTTTAAGCAGAGTAGACAATGAGCGTGACTGCTTCCCATCCATTTCTCATTTAGAAAATGAGTGGATCTAATCTCACAGGGTGGTTAGTCTTAAATGACTTCCTGGAAAGCTGCCAAGTTTGGAGTTCTGCAAACTAAGGAATTTTCCACTGGTTAACTTCCTAAATAGATGGCATTACTTCAGTGTTATTGCACTGCTTGCTTCAATCAATGCACATTTCAACCATGTCTGATTCAGTGAGGACATTTTAATCCTTTGTGAATTTTAAACATTTATCAGGGGGTTTGTGTTGCTTAACTGTGTGGCACACATCTGGCAAGAGATTAAGAATTGCATTTGAAACAATCAGAGACATTAACAGAAATTGCCACCATTTAGTCAATTATATAACTGACCAACCATTACAGATTATCTGTATATGACAACAATGTGAAGTCTTGTTAACAAATAGTTCTAAAATCCTGCAGTGTAACATAAGGACAGCCATACAAGCAAGAGATGCACTCCGATTTGAGCATTAATGCAATTGAAACTTCACACGGCTATAAGCACTTTCCTGGGCGGAAGCGGCATGACATAAAAATGCTGACCCTGAGCCCACAGAGGGCGATCAAATAGACTCAAAAAGTGCAGTGATTGGGTGAAAAATATGGGTAAAAGAGAGGAAATCGATAATCCAAGAATCCTGATCCACCAGTATGGAGTTGACGACAGTGAAAAATCTCTGGTGTTTCAACCGAATGAGGAATAAAGGGGAGACATGTTGCTGTGAAGTAGGTAGAAGGAGAAAGCAGGTGTGTGTTGGACGAGCTGGAGACAGCGAGGGTTAAGAGAGTGGGAGTTTGTACTTGTGACCGTCTCCCCAACAACCTGTTTGCAGCCGAGCCCAGAGGAAACCCTAAACAAAACGGCACTCCATCCAAATTACACTGAAAACAGGATTACTAATAATGATAACATTCTCACAAACAAGACAAACAACAGTACTGCTTGAGGATTGTGAAGTGGGTATTCTTGGAAACGCAATGAAAAAAAACTCTTAAAATATTAACAGGACCATTGGCCTTTGGTTTGTTTACCCTTCAGTCTGAAGTCTTCTGCGTCAATGAGTTATAATCCATACTAGTGAAGCAAAACAATCTGCTATGACCACTTGAACAGTGAAGCAACAACAGGAAGCAACATCTTCACTGACTTGTACACAGTTCTTCTGCAGCCTGACCTTTGTCATGTTTATGTAAAGCCACAAAGCTCCTGGAGCACACTCTTTACATCTCCCTCGACATGTACTCCTCGTCTCAGGGGGAAAGAAGAAGAAGAGGAAAGATACACGGGTAAAGCTGGAGGACTCAATTGTGTTTTATAATCGACTGCCACATCAGAAATTGACACATGCCAAATCGGTAAGCACTTCTAGCACTTTAGAGGTCATTTTGCGTGAAGCCAACTCTCTGTATCTGTAACCTGAATACTTTCACCAGATGGAAAACACAATCTGTTCAAACTCCCCCAAAGGGATTTGGCAAGACAGTGAGTTCACACACACACTCATGCACACACACACACAGAGGAAGATTACAATGACAAGTCAGATATGCATTTGCCAAATTATGGAAAAAAATATGCATGTCTCACCACAGCAGAAAATAAGCAGACATATTTACATATTTGGCCATAAGACAACAGACAACTGAATTATGTGCATAAACTCCACTGTACTTTCCCCTCCTCCACTTTGTTTTAGTGGCCGTGTGAACAGCCGGTGAAAAAACTAAACAGTATTTCTGCAATGACAAAAAACAACCTGAAAGAGAGCAAAAAAAGTCATAAAATCAAAGTGCAGAAATGCTTCGATTGACTAACAGCGATGGTTTTCTAAGTATAAAAAAAAACAGCAGACCGCCAGCAGGAACCAGATGATCACATTAAAAAAATAAAAGTGCATTTGCCGCAAAAAAGCAGGCTGTAACTTTTTCAGTAAGAACAAAACTTTTCTGGAGGTATGTATTGTCATGCTTTTATTTTCACTCTTACAAGCCTTGCAGCCGCTCTCGGAGCTGGGTTATCCGAGGCAACTCAGTGTGTGCTTCAAATGTTTCAAACTGCAAAAACTCCGCTTCTCAGTACAAAACAAACGCACATAATGTTCTCTGAAGCCTTCTTCAAAACTACATCCACTACTGTCATCTCTCAATAAAAGCGTTTGTGTGGCCGATCTGTGCAAAGCCACACAAAACAGATTCGTGGCATGTTTCTACCTCCACATAAAAGGTGAAGCACACAGCGTTGCTACTACAGGACACAAAAAGGAGAAAACCTCACCAGCTTTGCAGGGATCCTTATAGTCGATCACCTCTGATGTGGCACTGGACTCCTCATAGTAGCGCGGACCAATCGCGTCCAAATCGATCACCAATATCACGCCGAGACAGGAGAGGACACACAAACATCTCGCCGTGAGATCCATTATTGTGGTGGGGGAAACGGCGAAAGGCGAGGGATAAAGGTAAAGGAAGAGAGAGGGACAGAGGGGAAGAGAGAGAGAGACAGAAGAGTGAGTGAGAGAGAAAATGGGAGGTTTTTGGGGGAAACGAGATCCCTCCGGAGGGCGGGTTTTAAATCCAGCCTCTCTTGAGTGTCTTCTTGGCTCTGGGGGCAGGCAGAGATTTCTCTCCTCCAGCAGAGCTGCCGGAGAAACTTTGATGATCTGGCAGCAGGGCGGTGAACAGCCCCATTACAGGCCGATGCCCCAGGGCTGCTTTATCGCTCCCTGGTCGGTCCATCAGGGGTCATTGAAGAGCATTTGAGGAACTCATTTGGTTATCTCTTTGTGAAGTATGAATAATGTGGCCATAGTCCCCCCTCTGCTGCCTCTTTAATCTTCGGTTTATGGACCTTAATTTAATATTAAAACCTATCAAAGTTAATATATCATCATATTTAGCTGGGGTTGAAACAAAAATGGCCCTGTGGCTTTCATTTCTGTCTTTAATATAAAAGTAAAAATGAAACTGTACTTACATGACAGGTTTGAGATTATTTTCCTATTTTTGTACAGTTTAATCAAAGTTTAAAGTCCCTGTTTGGCTTTCTCTTTTTCGCTTTTAACACAGGAGAGCTCACACACAGCCTAGCAGGAACACGCACTAATTACGCACGTGCGCATAGACTGCAAGCGCCCACTCGTACTATAGCACGCGAGCACATCAACACAAACAAACAACAAACAAACAGACTGAGCCTGACATTTGAGGCTTCACAAGCACAGGCTATCAAATAATTAGTCAGGAGGACATTTGAGTGATTAGAGCACCACCTGATGGCGACTTACAGAACATACCGAAGAAGACTTTATTAATAGTAGAGATTAACAAACCCCCTAATGCTTTAGTTTTTTAAGATACCATTACCCGAGGTAGGACAAAGCACAGCCATGTTTTTTCCTTACTTTAATATGTCTAGTTTATTAAATAGATTGGTTTTATAGCAATATATTACTGTAAATTAATTGTTTAGGTTGATGTTTGGAACCTTCCCATAACCGAAAATATTGAAAATGTAGGCTCCTCTGAAGGGGGCCGTGTCAGCCTAATCACATGTATCTCTGGAAATAATGATCAGGAGGCCACCAAATGTGGAATAGATGTTCACAGGAAAGGATAACATCCCACCATGGGAGGCAGTAGCTTTGCAATCTTTATATATGTTACAAATACAAACAAACACGACCTATACACATTAGGCCTGAAACACACAAATGCAAAAACACATGCATTTTAATGGAAATCGGTCAGAGCAAAGGGGCTGCCATGTTTCTACGCCAGCGGGGCAGTTGGGGGTTCAGTGCCTTGCTCAAGGACACTTTAGCAGTACACAGCATAGATGTATAAAGAGAGTTGCCCAAAAGGTAAACTGGCCCCTCTCCAGAAGTCCACACATCGTGTTTTTGTTCAGTGCTGGGACTCAAACTGGTGAGCTCCTGCCGCCCCAAATGATTTACACAAAGAGACTGTTGGTCCAAAGTGAAAAGGCTATACAATGCAGGTAAAACCATGATGAAAAATACATTGTTTGTTTCAATAATTAGGAAAATAAACAGCTTTTTCTCAATCTAGTGCACCATAGTGCATTTCTTCACTTTATTTGTTCAACGTATTCATACTTATCTTTTCCACCTCGAAAGTGTACTTATTTGTTTCTCAGTTTATCAAAGTGTGCTTGCCCCTTTGTTTAAAATGTCTACTCTTTTATTTTGTCTTCACAGTTCCCTAGCTGTAACAATGTAAATGTCCTGCTGTGTGAGAAATAAAAGGATTTCAGATTTGTATTCATATTCTGAACTCCTTCCTGTAGAAAATAACAGGATTGTGGTGAAGAGACTTCAGATTGATTGTGTGAATTTCCACTGCTGCAGATGATTATTATGAAGATGAGGATGATGAGGCTCTGCCAGCAGCTTCGTTGTTCTCTGACTGGCATCAGTTTCCCCGTCCCAGCCTATTACACACAAAGCTGGCTTATATAACTTGTCTCTTTATCTTATCAGAGAGCTTTTCTGTGGAATCTAAGACAGGATGTCAGCGTCGATGAGTGGGCTGTATTTACGCTGTTTCTGTAAACAAGGCAGTATAACTATCATGCGTGAGAGCATTATATTTTGAATAAGAGTTCCTCAGCCTGCTCAATACAAGTGTTGAACACAGAGGACCAAATATTTAGATTAGCAAACAGGGAACTTAGTCGAGTGTTTTTGAGACACATCCATTTTTTTTTTACTGTTGCTGTTTCAAACAAATTGTCTATGATACTTTGCAGATGGTAAATGTTGTGTTTATCATACACAACCTTTCCTGTAATGCAGCTTTTTACTACAACTTTAATTCCAGGCCTCAATGCATGTTTTGTACCCTCTGCATTCACATGATTGTGACAAATACTGACATTTATTTGAGTTAAAGTACATGTTTCCCTCTAACATATTTTAGGTCATCATAAGGTGAAGTTGTTTGTCACGGTGAAGGAAAACCGCTGCGCAAACAAGCTCTTATTATGATGAACCGCTGTAATCGTGTAATGATGTAATTACTGTGATAAACAATATGGAACCTCCGACTTTACATTTTGTGATTTCACAAATGTTGAGATATTCAGAAATGTTCAAGCTGACCTTCCTATTAACCATACTTCTCTTTGGCTATGATAAATGAGATGCAAAAGAGATGATGGCAAAAGGATTTATACTAAAAGCGATACTCCACCTACACAATTACTAATTGTTTAGCAATTACTCACCATAGGTTACTATGAATTCAAAGACACATATCTGCTTTTCTTAAACCTATATAACACAGTTCAGGAAATATATTTAAAAAAAAAAGCATAATAGATCCTCATTAAGAATTCAATGTAAAAGGGGCTGAGTAATGTATATACAAAAGATCATTTTGGGGGTGAATTGTTCCATTAATATACACTTATAAAGCAAAGCTAACGGTTTTTTGATCAAGATGTAGGTGTAAAGTCAGCAGCAAGACTGTCCAAGTCCAGGTACTTTGCCGTTTATCCTCACATGATAAAGTGTCCTCCCTTGAGGATGACATGAGATCAGGTTTTCCTCCTGGCTGTCAGAGGTGTGTAAGAAGAGAGCCCAGACTGAAGCATGGAGACACAGAGTCAGCGCCCCTCTGCTGTACATAGAGGTTAAGCAACGCAGCATTCAGCCACAGCCAACAGCAACTGCATGGCCTTCTCCTTCTCCGCAGGGAGTCTCTGGAGGACGGCCAGGTGTTGTGAGAGTTGCAGGTTGGCGTGTTCATCATCTCAGGGAGGGAACAGTCTCATCAGCAGGAAGAGCCCCAGCTTACCTCAGGTGTAACGCCACATGGAAACCCTTCACTGCTGTAAGAAGAAGGGCACAGCGGAATTCATTAACTCACACTGCGGAAAATATAACAATAAGCCTATTTTAATTAAAGTCTTAGAGACAAAGGACTGTTTGACATTTACTTCTTTGGCACAAAGACTTTAGAGTGCATACAGCTCTTCAGTAATAATGGGAGGATATTTTCATAAGCGCAGCTCCTTCTTGTACACAGCCTTAGATGGATTAGGATAATGTCTTTTTCACTCTGCACTTATGGCAGCATTTTATATAGCTTTCTATGATTAAAACATCAAAATATGGAAAATAAATATCCGTCAAAATACGTATGCCTCTAAAATTTGACTTTTTGAACACACAAGTCAAACCAGTTTTCCACACTTGGACCTTTAGGGTTTCATAATGTCAAACAATAGGGAATAAGGAGTGTTCATTTGTCAATACTTACAAATCTCAGTATGTGCATTAACAATTTTTTGTTTAAAAAAATAAATAAAAGGTTTTACGCCAGAAAACACCACGCTTAATTGGGTAAAGGTTAACCATCAAGCAGGTTAATAAATATTCATTATTTAATAGTCTTCACAAAAAATAAATAAAAGGGGTTATTAAAAATATCATTGATTGTTCCATGTTCTTAGCTAGAAGAAATACTGATCATGCTTTCATTGAATTACGGGTGTTTTATTGAAATGTATAGCATCCGTGTTTTTCTGGTGTCAATTTCGTAAAATATTTGTGTGTAAATGAGGTCTATTGATTCCAAAAAGGACAGTCAAACTGGTGGTAATACGTGGGAATTGAGTTGGCTAAAAACATTACAGCCAAGGATTTGAACTATATTTTTTATTAACTGTCAAACCGGGAGGAGGACAACACAAAGGTTAATGGCATTGGAGTTGCCATAGCAGTTAAGATGTTCACAAGCTTTCCAAAACACAAATTACCATGAGTTTGACTGAAAACAATGTGGGCACTGTGAAAAGCACTAAAAGCTGATATGGCATGATCAACAAGCAGAAAGCCACACTTATCACATCAAGAGTTTGAAGTCAATTGTGGCCTTATCGGTAGCCGTTAGATGTTTAAAGTAGACACACCTTTGGCTCAAGGGTGCGAATCGGCGTCACAGCCTCGTAGTCTTGGCTGAGAGATCCCACTCTACTCGACTGGGCTCCTCTCAGGGTCACCGTTATCGAGGTGGGGGCTTTCTGCCCTAATGACACACAAAGAAAACTGCTCAGCACTACCGTAACCCCCCAAACACACTCAGTAAAAATGGAGCGGAGCCATTTACTTGTCAAAAAGTAGTGATGGAAGTCATCAGAATAACCTTTTTGCTTCGTGGTCAGGTAAGCAAATCAAAAGCAGGTTTGGACAATGAACATAATGAGAGGTAAAAGCACATTTAGGAGTTTTAAAAATAGGCAAAAGGAGTGAGAACTGATTGACACTGAAAGAAAAAGGAGCAATGAAAACATGATTTTGATTCCAGTCTTTATTGTAACAACATGAACAGAGCTCGGGTGATGCCATGTGTAATGTGTTACTGCCTTTCTCTGTTAGAGGACAGCATTCATACATATGGATATTATAAGCAGGTGATTTGATGGAAGGGTTACAAAATGTTACAACATGGATAACAAAAACATGAAATGCAGCTCAAATGTGACAAACAAAGCGATCTGGATTTTACTTTTGGGTATCATTTTAAAGTTGGTCAATCATACCCACACTGGTTTTAACTTAGTTCACAATTCTTCAGTATCAAATGGATTTATTCATTAATATTTATTTTACACATGCATCCACTTCTACATAAACATTATGCGTCAAACATAGGCTTCAAACTCTACCTCACATTTCCGTAATGGCTCTTTCTGAACATGAAAATAAATCATGCGGCACTGATCTGCCCTCTGATGCTGCATATCTGCACGACTCTGCACACCTCACAACAGTCAGGTTCTTCCAGGCATTCATCTACACACACGGTGACAGAGCCGCCCTCTAAGGTTGTGTACTGCGGCTCTCTGTGGCCTACAGACATCCTGAACTAGTGTTTCCAAAACAAAGTGGGATTGAACTCTGAGCATTCAACGTGGCCGTCGTGTTTTGGCAGTTCTAGACATACCAGCGGTCTGATTGGTGATGTGCGCCAAGCCGGGCAAGCTGCTGGCTATTTTGGCCAACCCGCCGTTAGTGAGCAGCTGGTGGATGGCGGTGGTTTTAGCCGCTCCTCCTGAGGCGACCACAGGCACCGCCCGGAGCAGAACGCTGCTGCTGGGACCGGCCGAGCTCAGGACCTGAGCCTGGGGCCGACCACAGACCGCCTGAGGGGGAGGAGAAGAGGGCAAACAGTTTAAGGTCTTGTTAGATTTAAAACACTGAGAATAGACTTCATGATTTAGTCTTATTAGTTAACTTTTGTCAGTTTTTTCATTTTCATGTTGATTGTACAATTTACATTCAAAACTGAAATGTCAGGTCTGTTTGTTTCGACTTGAATTGCTATGGATGGTAGCTCCCATGAGTGTTGCTACAATTCTGTCTTAATAGCTGCATTTTGGCATTATTGCTTTCTTTGTGACCGAGGAGTGAGGGTAGTTAAACTCATCCAGATAGAATTCTTTTTAACAAAGGACCATTTTGATATTAAATATGCCAGCCATTTTATCTACCCAGAGAATTTCTCATGTGTTTTTGTTTATCTACAATGCGCTAAAACGTGCGCCTATTAGTCACTTGGAAACAACAATGTAAAGCTAACCTTTATTATTTTGGAAAATGGCTCCAGTAGAGTATAGATAATTCTTAGTGACTGAACTTTAAATGAAGCAAAAGGTCATTTTTGGTCATTCAAACGTGTATGTAATGTAAACATGTAGCCATAGTTACCTGTGTGCTGCCTGTACTGGCATCTGTGGAGGGAAAGCTAGGCGTTTTGGTGACGATCTCCTGAAGACTGTAACTTAGGCCTTGAAGCAGACTGCTGGCGGAAGACCCTGCACACAAACACAGAGACAGTAAATCAATGGTGCTGACATTTGGGAGGAATATTGACAAACCGCTCCCATCCAATCCCCTCACAGACTAGATGAACACACACATACACACACAAGCACACGGTATGAAAAGTCGTGTCCAAAGGGTAAGGCTGGGGACATTGACAGACAGCAATGGCGCAAGAGGTAATCAATGATGAAGTTGATCAAATATGTTGTCCTCACACACTGTTCTTATCCAGTGTTTATTCTCCCTCTACAAAGCGGTTAGAATTATGTAGTGGTCACTGTGCTGATTAGCCGCACAGTTGAGTGTTAACAAGCGTGCAGGGCAGGACAGGACACAGATACCTTGGGCAGTAGCCGGAGCTTGCACCTGGACTGGTGTGGAGGAGCCTGATACCATGCACGGCTGCACGCTGTTGAAAGAGATGGAGCCTGACGACAGGGCACCAGAAACCTCTGAGAGACTACCAGACCTGCAGTGACACACATAACCACCAATCCACTCAGGAGCTACCCCAAAAAGTGATGTTTGGCCATCACTCAGCTCCCAGACTACACCACTCGTCAATCCCCAGACACACTTTTGTCGAAAAGAGGGGAACGTAGGCGTGGGTGTAGGCAGGATCAGGGGGTTTGATACTGAATGTGCCTGTGTGAAGCAGGATAGCTTACCGATGGCCTGTGAGGAGTCCAGAGAGCTCCTTGGCTCCTGCCACAGTCTGTCCCAACATCACCGTTAAGGGCTTCCCGGAAACTGCAGGGAGAAATAAACATCATGCTGATTTAATTTAAAACTAATTAAAGAAGATACTTCATGTAGTCATTATTTATGAAACAAGCAGTAGGTAGTACCTGTGTCAGGTCAATCAATCAATCAAAGTTTAGTTATATAGCCACATATCACACATTTCACATTTGTCTCAGGAGGCTTTACAGTTCGTACAGAATATGAATACGACACCCTGTTCTAAGACGCTCACATCGGACAAGGACAAACTCTCAAAGAAACCCCACAGTTAAAAAGGTACAAAACTTTTGCAAGAATTAATAAATACATTTCATCCTACTTACTCACTTTAACAATACTGTATACCAAACAAAAACACAGGTTTATTTTCTTATCAATCATTTCTTAGATCGGTATGAAGGTGATCCGCTAAAAACCTTTCCAATTCAGGGTTTCCCACAAGTGCTTTTATCAATCCATAGGTAAAAAAACAACAGTATTTGTTTACTATGATCATACAAACAGCAGTATTTTCAAAGTACAAAGAAGAAATCCTGCAAAGTACATATCAAACTACTGCTTACATATTGTCATGTGTTTGTCATAAGGTTAGGAGAGCAGGGTGTGTACCTTCTTGTGCAGCAGGGCTGATGCTGCCCCCTGCTGACTCGCTTTGGGAAACGATGGTGACCTTGATCTTGGCTCTTTTGGAGGCTTTGCTTGGTGTGGGACTCGGCGCCTGCCTCCTCTTGCCATGGGGCCTCAGTTCATCTCTGTCCAGGCCCTCCATCTGATCGCTGCTCACTGGCACTGCACCGTGCAAACAAACACAGGCATTGAGCGGAGTGCTGAGGACACTTGTTTATCTTGTGACCTTTAATATTACATCTGTCTGTCTGTAATAATCTACTTTGAGCAATAAATACAAATGACTATTCTGTGTTTCATTCATGTAATATCCAAAGTAGACACCACCATGTGTTTAGTGACAAACCAGAGCTGTTCATATAACATTAGAGCAATGGAAACAAAGAAAGAAGTCAAAAGGCACGGAGGAAAGAGAAAGGAAGAGGGACAGACACTTACCAAAAATACAAGGAGGAGTGCCAGGAGGAAGGTTTTTCCTCACAAGCATGTTTTGTTTCATAAAAGCAGCAAACTGAGCTGGAATGAATAGGAAAGAAAGCCGGAAAAGAGAGACGTAGGAAGAGAAGAGAGAGTGGATGAGAGGAGAGTATATCAGTCACATTCTATCCTGCCCCGTCAGATGTTGGGACGCGATAAGCTTCATAATCATTTTCTTATCTCTCACACAGCAGAAAAGTGTGGTGAATGACTGTGCACTATGTGGCTGTGCGCTGTGGACAGGGTTCCTGCAGGTTTCACCAACTCAAAAGTAAGACTTTTTAAGACCACTTTGAATAGAATTTAAGACCTATTTCACAGCAAGAAAGAATGAAGGAAAATTGCTATGAAAGAAGAAATATGTCCCATAATTACTTTCATTAAGTAAATGTATTCCAATCAACATAAGAACGATGAACATAACAGCATAACAGCACACAATAAAAAAAACTGCCTAACCGTGAAAGTGTGTGTGTGGGTGTGTGTGTGTGTCTCTGTGTATGTATGTGTGACAAGAGCTATCTTCTGAGCTCTGCTGCCTTGGCTACAATCTTTCATCGTTGCTGTTGTATGATTGGTGTTTAGCGTCCACAGCACCTCCGCTTTTAGGGTTGACGTCGTAGACCCAAACGTCGCCCGGAGGCAGTGGTCGCGTTAACCGAATATGTTCCATCTATGACGGATTTTTTCTAATGACGGAAAAATCTGAAAGCAGTCTTTTCATTTTGACAGATTAGAACAAACTCGGAACAGCGGCAAAGTTTCCCCGCAGCGAGGCTCCGGTGTTATGCCGTGTTATGCTTTATTTACGCTGTGTGCGCTCCCGCGAGGTGCATGCATGTCTCGGCGGGCATTCATAACACCGGCGCAACGGTTCACGAGCGTGCTCTCGCTCGCTGAAGCTTGGTTGCTAGGTTTCTAGCTGGGTGTTTTCCGATAAGGGTCCGGGGGGGTGCAAAGTTAGTGATTACTGGTTCCATGTTGATTTATTTCAATACAAATTGATCGCAACACAGAAGTACCTTTCAAATCCGATCATTTTTAAGACCGTCTAAATCCTATTTAAGACCTTCCAATTTTTTTTTATCATATTTAAGACTTTTTAAGGCTTTAAATTCTGATTATCAAATGTAAGACTTTTTAAGACCCCGCGGGAACCCTGTGTGGAGTTGTGTGTGGTGGTGAACTAACCTTGAGCCTGCTTGTGAGTGAGCACTGTGCCCGAGCGCTGCATGTGTGTCTTCAGGAGCTGCGTGGCTGTGATCAGACTGGACTTCTGAGCTGGAGACAGACCCGACGTCTTGGGTTTGGGACTGGACGTGGGGCTGCTGCAGACACTAGACAGATCCTGAGAAAACAGCAAGAAGGAGGAACAAAAGATGACTCATGATTCATTGACGGCAATCATTCCTACTGCATGTAAACCTACTGCTATTTATACTCATTCAAAACATTTTGTATTATTGGAAATGGTTGCAGCAAGCCAACACTAGGGTCTGTATTTTAAAATTCCTCCCAGATGCAGGAAAACCTAAGAGTATAGCACATGTTTATTCCTCTAAATTATTTTACTCAGCTGAGCAAAGATGAGAATTTCATTAAACGACATTCTGATGTCTGGCAGATACAATTTCTCATTAGCTAGCATTTTTTGCACTTGAGAAAAAGTGAGAAGCCGTACTTTTTTAACCCTTAAATGGGCGAGCACTTATTGATTGTTATTTTCTAATGAATATAGGCATTTCATAATTGTTGGGGAATCATTTGCCCTGCATGTCCTCCTTCGCCCTCTGACGCAGCTGACCAACCTTGATCAGCCGTTATCTCCCATAAGGAGGGGCTGCCCTAGCATATTATTGATGTTGCCAGTTTGTGACCGGGCAACTCTCGGTCAGAGATAGTTATTGTTGTGGGACACCTGGAACACATCCTTCTCGGGGTGTAGATGACCCCGAGCCATAAGCGACAACACATTGTGATTCAGTGTCCTCAGCTGTTAAGTCTATCTATTGAAGAATGTTGATTATTACACTCTGAACTAGTTCAAACCTGGAGCTACAGGAGGGTGCTTCAGAATTGATTGTGGCATCTCTACCGTGTGGTCAACTCGTGGCCCGTGACATGTCTTGTGAATTCTCCGGCCGAAGCTCCAAATAAACCGTCAGTGTTTGCCATCAAAGCTCCAGCTCTCCTCGTGTCTCTCTGAGTCCTGTTTCCAATTGCTTCAGAAGTTTCCCCCACAATTATGCTTTATTTCACCTATATATTACACCCATATATAATACCCATGTTGCATCCTCATTGCACTGTTATTACACAATATTTCACCCATGTATCACATGGACAAAGCCCATCAAATTAATGTGCACCCCAGGATACAGAAACCATTTAAGGGATGAGGAAGAAGTGATTAGTTTCGAATCTCAACCGCTTCTCTTATTTTCATAGGATTTTCATGACTGGACCGCTTTTCTAAAACGTTCCCATCATTACACAAAATCAAATAGTTCATTATTTAATTCCATTTAGAAATATAATTAATACTTCAAATATTCGTATCAGGTGCAGCCCTGGCGGTTATTTTTAAAGCTGAACATTATGACACTTCCAACCAGTTGATAAATGGCAGTGAATGTAGCCTCTGCTAACTGACCTCTGAACCTGACGGTGAGATGGGAAGTCTGAGTGCAGGAGAGGAAGGTCGCCCTCTCTCCAAGTCGAAGGGAAGCTCCCGCCGAGGCCTTTTCTTCTTCTCGGTGTCCTGGTCCCTCATCTCCCCGGAGCCGTGGCCGTGACCCTCCGCTCGAGTGAGGACGCCTGACAGGAAGTCAGAGATCTCATCCTGCAGAACAGTGATGGAAGAAAGAAAACGGTGTGTTAGCACCATCAGAGCAGTTCTTTAGTTTGAAAAAAAGTACTGCAGGGGATTAGAAACACCCCGGACAAAATGAGAAATGATATAAGTCCTATTACAGGGACGAACCTGAATGCAGCGGTCAACCATTGTCTGCGTCAGTCCTTCTGATTTCATCTTTGCTGAATTAATCCTGTGTAGGGAAAAGATTCACTGTTACAATTACTACTGAATCATATTAAACTCTTTATACTGAGCTCATATTTCTTGCTGCTTAAACAGCCACTGTAGGAGCCATTTTATGGTTGTTGGCATGTCAGTTTACTTTATTTATAGTGCAATATTATTTTGAACACTTGATTGCGGGGGTTAGCTGCACCGAGTATATAAACGGGGTCATAGGTGACCGGAAGACCGAGGACACAGGAGGAAGAGCACAGCGATCTAACCAGCCCAGCAGATGCTCAAGATACAACCATTGACTCAGTAATTAAACCTTGGTAATGTAAACGTTCAATAAACATCATTCTAAACGGCATCAAAGGACCGGAAAGCATCTGTTATGTGTCTGCGTCTGGATCACTCATAATCCTGTAATGGCAATAAACGAATATAGGACATTTGGACAATAAAGTTGCCATTACAGCCACCATTAAGGGTCGTGACTGACCTGAGGTTGTCGTCGGATCCCCCCACCACCACCATGCTGTTGTCCGCCCTCAGCTTCTCTCTGAACTCCTCCATGCCTTCGATGCTGCTCTGCAGGGCGTTCTGGCCCAACACAAACAGCACGGGGGTCTTCATGTCCAGCAGAGGGTCGTCCACATCCTGCAAACCGGTAGAAATTCATTCAAATCAAGTTCAGTTTTTCTGATAGAAAGAATGAAATAAAAGAAGTATTTACAAAACAATAGAAACAATCCATATAATAGAGTGGTGCAGTGATGACGTATTTTTGTAGGCCGACCCGGAAGTAAGATAATCTCAACATGTCTACCCTACAGAGAATAATCTATCGATTAGATTTATGATTCGAAAATTGTAAAGGGTAGACATGTGGAGATTATCAGGGTGAACAAAATGTGGATTTATCAAACAGGTTTGTTTTCCACAGATCTTATTTTTTACAATACTCCAAAATCCTATGGAGAAATGCCATAGCTTTTTTGTCGAGGGAACCCATGCGCAGCTTACTTACGGGTCGGCCTACAAAAATACGTCATCCCTGCACCACTCTATGATTGAAATATGATTGCTTACCCCTCGTGGCCCGTTGACTGTCAGCAGGGGGAAGCCGAGACACACCACACCGGTCAGATACTCCATTAGGGAAACCTGTAATACATTTGTTTTTATAACAAGTGGTGCTTTAAAGAATGGGGGGGGGGGGGGGGGGGGGGGGAACTGTTTAGCCTCACATAACATTGCTGCAATAAGTTATAAGGAACCTTACGTGACAGGCGATGAGAGCACCCGTATTCCAGCCAACCAGGATAATGGGTTTGTGGGGGAAGTGACTGTGAACCTGGTGGTTACATTTATAACGTAATGATTACATCTGCATACATATAATGTACAAAATAAAACAGAATCTGTATTCAACATGGTACTATCCTCCATTTTGCCTTCAGACATGAATCCTGAAGTGTTGACGAAACATATTGTTTTCCCAAATTAAACAGAAATAAAAGGTTGGATCATTAACTTTCTGGTAAGCTAAACAACCAAAATCACATAAGTAGCAAATAAGGGCAGAACATCCTACCTCCATGACCTTTGCCCTGACAGTGCCCAACATGTGCTCCAGACACTGTGTGATGCCAATATTGGCTCCGCTGCTGACGTGACTGTGCACTGGAATGACCTGAGATAGGAACAGTTGTTATAGGTTCTTTCCTGGGATTATGAATAATCAAAATGGCGAGTAACAGATATAAAGTTGACTGACCTTTCCCAAACACGACAGCTGAGACTGCCAGAATCTCATTCGCCGCGAGGTAGAGAGCGCGGGATTGGTTGGGCTTGATGGTGCAATTAGGATGAGAGGGGATCCATGAAGCTTGCTCTGAAACAAGAGAGAAGAATATGAGATACATTTGTTTTTTAGATAGATGGATAGATGGATAGATGGATAGATGGATAGATGGATAGATGGATAGATGGATAGATGGATAGATGGATAGATAGATAGATAGATAGATGGATAGATGGATAGATGGATAGATAGATCTGTCCTTGTCCTAATTCAAATAAACAAGCTTTCTATTGCAATAGTTTAGTGTTACCGGTTTGTTTTGCGACAGGACTCCAACAGCTGGGTCCCAGGGCCGTTTCAGCAGCAGCGACAGGGCCTCGGCACTTGGAGCGCCGGTCTTTGTAGTCGTTAGCAACATTCTGTCAATCAGCAACGGCAACTTCCAAGACACAAAGAGGCAGAAAGTAATGAATCAAACATCTCAGATCTTGTTTTACTGCTGCAGACATCCGAGGGGAAATATTTCTTACATGTCTTTTAACTGCACACATCATACCTTGCTTTTGAGAGTCTGCAGAACATCCAGGTAGGCAGCTAGCATCGCCAGGCTCAAGGACTCAATCATGGTAGTGTGCAACCACTGCGTCAGTTTGGTGTCCCAGCTCACACTGGCTAATGCATGGCGCACCTTCCTGGCACAGTTGTCCACGGCTATCCTCCGCAAGATTGGCTCATTGGAAGCCTAAAGGAAGCAAGAGCCCAAAGGGGCCAATTTACAAATGGCTTTAGATTCACATATGACTTCACAAGAAGACGCTTTGCCTTAACTTTAGAAACGTGAAACTGAGAATAACTGGGCCCCAATAATGCAGACTATAAAATGTTAGGCTGTAGTCACTAATTTGTTATATTGTTAATGATTTACTCTCTTATTTGTTGGCCTGTTTTTACAAACTTATATCAGTGCTTTTAGTGTCCAAAACAAAGGGTCAAGGTTTTGTCCTTGGCAAAATGATATGTTTACTCCAAAGAGGGCAACAGCCTCCGAGATAGGGCTGCATTGATTTGTCTGGTGCATTATGTATAAAACAATCCTCATGTTTATAACGGCAATCCAATAAAAACGTAACGTAAGCTATATACTCTTTAAAGTCCAGTCGCCAATGCACAATACATTTGTGCCTATGTTATATAGACTAAGCAAATGGCAAACCATAACTCTGCAATAACTGATTTCAGAGAATAATAACCATTTCAATCCATCGCTTACAAATGGTGCTTGAACAAAAAAAACAACTTTAAAATGCATATTGCTTGAGAACAGTATTAGCTATGAGCTAAACTTACATGTTCATTGGCAAGACGCGCTAGTCTTTCAGCTTGTAAAGCTTTAAGGACTTTGTTGAACAGCTTGTTCTGGACCACTGACCATCCAATCCTGAAACAGAATAATAAAAACATCAAAAAAATGTACTTTAACATAGATACTTTCTACACAAGTGTAAAGTCAATAACAAATGAACAGTGGATTGCTCCAGATGATTGCTTACTTGTTTACATGTTCCTCCCAGTCATCGGGGGGTGGGGGGCTCTCAGCGACGGTACGAGCAAACAGAACATGTCGCTCACACTCCTTCATCACACTGAGAGCTTTCTGATTATCATACAGAGGAACAGGTCTCGGTGTCACCGTCTCCACGTCCAGAAGAGAATCAGGGTCTCTGCAGACAAAGACAAGGGTATCAAGTTACAGCAGAAACCTTTGCATCACAGCAGCTCCATTTGCAACATCAACAAGGGCAAACATTAAGACACAATACAAAGGAACATTTAATAAAACATCACGATCATTAAAAAGATAACATTCTCAAAGACCCTCTAACACACATTCAAACATATTTATTTGTACTTAAACCGATATATTCCTGCACTTTATCTGTATATTGAAATATGAATGCTTGTTGTTTGTATGTTGTCTTCTCGTAAATGTTCTACGTCTCGTTTGTTTTTTGTATTTTTGATGGCACCTTAAAAAAAGGAGCAGCTCTACTCATCTCATTGTACCTGTATAATGACAATAAAGGATTCTATTCTATCGTACATTTCACCTGGGATTTGGCTCTGTATTTCATTTGAGGATTGACTAGTGCACAAAGGAGTGCTTCAGTCTGAACTTATTCAATCGCGGGACCCTGTATCTCCGATTTGATGGTAATGTGGTCATAGATGATGTGGTTGGACAGCCTCCATATGTTGTTATGGTTGTTTATGAATAGGATATATTTGACTCACGACACGGGTTCAGGCTGGCGACGAGGGGTAACAAACAGCGTCCGTGTGGGCCGGGCGCTGCTGGCGTCTGGATGGGCATTCCAGGGCTTGGCGTAGCTGTGGTCCAGAAATACCAAATCCAGCTCTCTTTCATGTGCCGACAGCTGGAAAAGCAGGGATGTTCCCATCTTCCGTGCTGATATCTGGAAGTCTTTATCCCCGCCTCGATGCATCCTCTTCCTGGGCCCCAAAGGGACCCGGGAAGAGCTCGGCAACTTGGGATTCAGACCAATCTGGCAAAGAGGAGGAAAATTGATTATTTGAGATATGCTGAGAAAAGAAACAATGCTTTTGTTACATTCCACCAAGGGGCTTAATATATTTATAATTCACGAGGACTAAATACCTGTAAATAAATGCATTAAGCAAGTCCCCTTACTTTATCGAAGTGCTTCACTAAATCACATCAGCCTGTGAGACATTTCTATAAGGTTGTTATTGCGTTGTTATGGGGCAACAATTTTAAATAATCAAATAGACATATTAAAATGCACTGAATCATGCCTTTGAAAAAATAAAATATGCTGATTTAAAATAAAATCAACCTCAACAGTTCTACATTTCATAAATGTAAGTGTTGGATCAAAACAAGACATTTAATATAACTTTGGACTCTGGTAAGATCAAATGCTGTGCTCTCTTAAATGTTATAGACTAAAAGAGGAAATATCCTTAAGATTAGCTGATCAGAGAAATAATCCACCAGAGGTAAATAAGCCTGATGAACTCCTGACCTCTGAAGTGCCTCGATACTTTCTATGCATCAATCTGCATTTCACAGATGTATTTATTTATTACTACAATAACCAGTATTTTATCTTTGTACAGTATTACATTTTACATTCTGTTTTTAGCTCATCTCTTTGCTTTTATTCTATTTTACATGTATATAGCCTAGTTGAATTCTTATGCATTTACCTGCACATTTTATTCTATTCGGTTCCTCTGCAACTATTTTTTATTTGTTTTATGTTTCATTGTTAAAGGAAGTGTGGGACTTAAGATATTACATTTTGAACCTGTTTACCAAGAATTAAAACAATATAGTAGAACTTTTAAAACCATTATGATTTTTTTTTAAAGGCAATAAAACCTTTGAAATAATCGTTAATGTTAGTGTAAGCCCACATGCTGGTGCTTTGTCCACAGTGAGCTCCACCCATTGCCATGTACAGGGTATTATTATTGTTTTTTATAATCTAATTCTAAAATCTAAAACTGTTTTAGGTGTAATACAACTTCCAAACTATTAAAACGTAGCCTAGATATGATAACTTTGCGTGGATGTTACCTAAATATGCATCAATAATGTTAACGCTGTGTAAAGGGGCTGGCTGGCCTGGCTGGCCTGGCATGCTAATGTTAGCATAGCATGCTAAAAGCTACCCTAATATCGCTGTTTCGTTGCTCACCTTTACGCTTTATAACTCCATGTTGGTCGAGACGGTTTCAACTCTTATTTTGATCCAAATAAATCACAACAAGCTCGTATTTTTGTTAATTCTACACGTTTTAAAAAACAAAAATGATTAGTGCGTACAAGCCTCACTTCCTTTTGTTGTGCGATTTGTTGCCGTGTTGAGCTCCAAAACCCCCTTTTCCGGGCCGTTGAAAACAAGGGGATAGTCAGGGCTGCATTTTCAACAGAACTGGCAACCCAGTTTGTGGCGCGTCTGTGAGTGACGCAAAACGTGGACAGGATTTCAGCGGAATCTGCATCTTTAAATAATATTCTGTGGTAAACTAAACACGTTTTGGACAAAGATGTTTTTCGAAGGAGTTTGCTTCGAGGTTTCAGAAAATTAGGTTTAAGTGATGGATCCATTTAACAGCAGTTTTTCGCGGGAGAAGTTGACATAATATACTTTTGAATAAACACATTACATATGTATTGTTTTATATTGTGTTACGTTGTGCATATTTTTACTCTGAATTCGCTATGATTGGATGATTTTTTAAATGTTATTCTAAAATTGATGAACTTCTGTGAAATCCATTTCCCATATTTACATGGTTTAAAGGCTACATTTATTTGTTTTATTTATTTAAATGTTTTTAATGGTAAAAATCTATCTACAAAAGAAGAGATGATCTGACTTCAAGATTCAGACATATCTTCCAAGAACCACATATATATTTCTCCACCATAAAACATGAATAATATGAGTAAAAAAACTGTGTATTTGAATTTGTATCATATTTGTCCCCTTAAAGATGTTGTACACGTCTTCCCCAATGCCACCAAACAATTTAGATATTTCCCGTCTTCAAGTAAAATAAGTTGTTAACAAAGAACTAGGATTGTGAAATCTTAAAAATAACAAGGCTTTCAGGGAAAATGACGGTCACAATTTTTTTCTTTCTGTTGGGACCTCCAGTGACCTCTCTTATTTAATTCCAAAGGTCTCTGCAGATACACAGTTTAAAATACAGAGACCTACAAGCAAACACACACTTTAACTTTTCTCCTCCTACCTGAACACAATTCAGACTGGACAACTTCAACTGCCACCATGGTGAGTGGATTTTAGTACTCAATCTGAAATTCTGGTTACAGATGTTATTTGCAGCTGTACAGCGGTAATAATGGATAATAATGGATAATTTTATGTTAAAAATGTTATATTTTCTACTGAATAAAAGTGATATCATTGGGTTTGTATCATTTTGTGGCATGGACCTCAAATTATGGGTTATCAAAATGGGAGCAATTTAAAGAATGACTCGTATCAGATGAATTGTATATTCAACAAAAAATATCTTAACATACTGTATACCAAAGGTTTTTGCCTGATTTTTGCCAAATGCTTGCTAAGATACATAGCCTATGTGGATGCTGATATCAAATGGTAAATCGTTGTTCCTTTTTTCCCTGTGCAGAAATATTTGGCTCTGGCTTTGCTGTTTTGTGCTTTGGCGTCGCGATCAGATGCTTCATGTTACGCTAAGGCCGTAACACCAGGTAAAAGAAGAGAAAAACACACACTCACAGAATATTTATAGTAAATACAAAACTGTTTTAAAATGTGTAAAACGTTTCCTTTCCACAAATAGGCATGACCCAATGTCAGGACGTCAGTGATAATACCTGGCATCCAATTGGATCTACATGGAGAAACAGTGAATGTTTCGACTGTAGCTGCACTGAATGTTGCCAAGCGTAAGTACACATGCCAAATCATTTCAGATTTTTAATTGGATAGCATTTATATTTGACTTTTGTAGTTACATATTCCACTGTTGACTGTGTCTTTGCAGGTTTTCAACCCCCACACGGTTTGATTCAGACTGTGTGTCAGTTTTCAACTCTGCGGCTTGTGAATTCATAGTGCACAAGAGGAACGACCCGACTCAACTGTGTCCAATTTATGGCGCAGTAGGGAAGTGATGCAGTGGTGTGAAAGTCTGATGTGATTTCTTAGGGGGAGGAGGGAGAGACATGCAGATGTAATCCCTCTCTGGCTTCTCAACAGAACTCACTGCCTGTTTTTGTTTGTTGTAAAGACGACCAAGAATAAAACTAATAAAAGCGAATAAAAAGATAATTTCCATATTGTCTGTTTTTGCCAATCCTAAATCTATTCTGAATTATAACCTTTACTCTGTATGTTCCAGTATTTATTTGCTGGGTTCAAACAAACACTAAGACCGGTGGCTTCTTCGAACGATGACCATCCTCCTCTAATTCGGTTTCAAAGGTCCCTGCAGACACACATTATAAAAGTCAAAAGCATTCAAAACACAGTTTAGTTTCTAACATCTCTCCGGACCACTATTCAAACGGGACAAGTTTGACTGCCACTATGGTTTGATTGATTGATTGATTGAAAAGTTTATTAACAGCTTGTATATTGGGTACAGTACAGTACAGCTCAAAACATACAATTGTTAAGGGGATGCAGACCAGAGAAAGACTTTCGTCTTGTTTACATCAGGGTCCCCCATTTCCAATTCATCATATCATTTAAGACATATAAGACATATTTGACATACAGATGGCTTATTTACAATTTACATACAGGTGAGTTTTTACATACAGATGGCTTATTTACAATTTTCATTTTAGATTTCGTTCTAATACATCCTAACCGGACATTTAAGACATACCAAGTCTACAGATATACAGTTAGTAACAGAGTCTAAAATGCGAGTATATACATAGATGGGGGGGGGAAGCTGTCCATTGTACGACAGGTTGAGATTTGTACCATTACCGGGGCCAGTTTTGCAATGCTTTCCCCCGAAGGTGCTCTTTAAGAGAGGTTTTGAAGGTAAGTATATTTTTACTTTCCTTTACAGTTGTGGGAAGAGCGTTCCACCTTGATGTGGCATAATTGCGAAACGTGTATTCCCCATTTTTTGTGCCAAATCTGGGTTTTACATGATTTGTGGAGCTCCCTCTGGTGTTATGATCATGGTATTCCTTGACCTTTGGGAAGAATTTTGACATGTACATGGGTACCATAGAGGTGTAGTGGATCTTGTAGACCAGGCCCATTGCAAGTAGCTGTACTCTGTCGTCTACTCTAAGCCATCCTAGGTTGTCAAAGTGGGCAGAGGTGAGGTGGGTTCTAGATGAAAGGTCAAGCAGTAGTCTGACCAGTTTATTTTGCGATGTTTGAAGTTTTATTTTTAGCGCCTTGGAGGTGCTATGGTACCATGACGTGCAAGCATAGTCATAGTACCCTTGAATGAGTGCTCCTGCCAGAGTTTTCAGGGTGTTTTTGTTTACCAGAGAGGAGATCCGGTATAGGAATCTAGTTCTTTGATTGACTTTTTTTATTACATTGGATGCCATTTTGTCACAGGAGAGGTTTGCCTCAAGAATAGATCCTAGGTATGTAATTTCCTTCTTACTTGTGACAATAATGTCACCCACTGCAACTGAGAAGTCGTCGGATTTGCTGAGATTATGTTTCGAACCGAAGAGAATGGACTCTGTTTTACCCAGGTGTAATGATAATTTATTATCGGCGAGCCAGGTAGGGCTGAGTCGTCCGCGAACAGGAACAAGTTGCAGTCACATGCTGATGACATGTCATTTGCATAAATTAGGAACAGTAACGGACCTAATATGCTTCCCTGTGGAGCACCACAGCTCACTGGGAGGGGGGGGGACAGAGTACCGTTTACCTCCACCATCTGTTCTCTCCCCTCCAGGTAGGATTGCATCCAGCTCACCGATAGTTTATCAAAACCAATTGCTTTTAGCTTGTCAATAAGAATGGGGTGATTGACAGTGTCGAAAGCCTTTTGTAGGTCCAGCAACACCATGCCGCAGTATTTACCCTCGTCCACCTCTTGTTTGATGTGGTCGTTCAAATAAAGGCATGTGTCAGTGGAGTGGGATGTTCTAAAGCCAGATTGAAATTCATAGATTAGTTTCTTTTCCGCGAGGTACTTTTCGACCTGTTCATATACTATTTTTTCCATGACTTTCGAGATGGAGTTAAGTATAGAAACAGGGCGGTAGTTGCCTGGGTCCAATTTGCTGCCCTTTTTGTGCAGGGGGGTTACTCTTGCAATTTTGAAGTCTTTGGGTACTTTTCCCTGTTTTATGGAGAGGTTAATTATGTGAGCTATGACTGGTGAGATGGCGGTTGCTGTGTCTCTGAGGAATTTGGAGGGGATATTGTCGTGGCCAGTGGCCTTGTTAGGTTTGAGGGCGCTCAGTTTAATGAGTACCTCTGCTGTTGTTACCCTTGCTAGACTGAAATCATCTTTGCGTACCCCTAGGTTTTTGTAGTAGGTCATGATGTGATCTACTCCAAAAAGCCCTGAGTGGGAGGGTAATTTATTTACAAGAGTTGTGGCTATGTTTGTGAAGAAAATGTTGGTGAGTTGATTTCAGAGCACAATTCTGTTTGTTGGTAGCTGTTTTTGTGGGTTAAAGGTTAAAATATAGCCTAAATCATGGAGGTAAAGGTAGTTGTTATAAATGTGATGTTTACGAGTAAATAAAAGTGACTAAAGTTTATATAATGAATTATATCAAGTGAACGTATCATATCGATTAAACAAAGATCTACTGTGTCCAATTCATGGCGCAGTATTGTAGTGATGCAGTGGTGTGAAAGTGTGTTGTTATTTCATGGGGGGAGCACAGAGAGACATGCATGTTAGCTTAGCTTGGTAGCCTCAGCTAGCTCTGGAACTTCCAGCTCGGTAACAGGAGGTCCCGCCTCGGCTCCGCCTCTTTGCCCTTATTTGGAGCAGGCGGGAGTTAGACTCTGACGTCACTGTCGAGCCGTTAGTAGCCGACACCGCCTACTTAAAGGTACGGACACACCAACCCAATACTCGGATTGGTGTGTCCCGCACCGTCGGGTCTTTTCAGCCGACCCGACCGCCCAAAGGCAGTCGGCGAAAGAAATCACTCTGATTGGCTGTTCAGCTAGCGAATCAGTGCATGAGAAGCGAAACGGAAGTGAGGGACCCAAACAAACTATTAACACTAGAACCGCCAGAGATTTTTTTTATACCTAAAACCGCCACCTGGGTCAAATTGACCCGCTATTAGAATGCATTGATTTTCAAGGTAAAATGTTCTTTTATTGAACAGTGAGTTTTGATCGCACAGGGATGAAACGT